TAGGCAAGGCTGACAAAAGGTGGGTCTAGAAGCAAAGAGGACTCAATTCAGATGCCTGTACATAGGTAGGTGTCCAGTGCCACTGGAGATGCCTTAAGATAGGTCTGACGGTAATTTACACAAGAGTTGATGCAGTCTCCCAGTCCTATGCGCAGAGACAGTCTGCTCAGTAGCTCTGCCAAAAATCCCTTCCTGTAATCTCTTCTAAACCTTTCAAGGTCTGTGCAGTTGGTTGCATGGAGCATAAGCAAGGCAATCAAGAAACAGAATCCCTGTGCCAAAAACATCTTCAGCTGCTTCTGGGCCTCTTAAAAGCTTCTTTTTCCTGTGAGTTTTGATTTTTTCATGCACAAGAGCTTTGTGGATTAGACCCAGATGTACTGGAAAGTTTGGTGAGGTCTTCAGAGTGTTTTAGTGTTGGCTGATTGTCACCTGAAACCACTGTATTTCCCCAGAAGCATATATAAACTGGTAATTGCATATTAGCAAAACTAACTCAGCTATTCAATTATTGTTCTGTATAAATTCTATATCTGTGAAAACATCTATTATTGTTTTCCCCATTGTTGAGAGAGTACTCATAAAGCCAGCTGTCATTTATTTCTGTTGCAAGCAATTGAGAGCTGAGGTAGTTGTTAAAAAGCACGAATTAGAGGAGATGGCATGAACCTCCCTTGGCAGCATATTCACAAAGATATCATTTCAGGAGTTCAGAGCTTGCTCTGGAGCACATTTGCCAAGGAGCAAGGTAGTGCTTCATCTGCTGGAAGTGTGGACAATACAATCCTTGAACTTCTCCTGACTCGTAAATGTGTTATCCATAAGCAGTTTGTTTAGCAAGAGTCCAGATATAGATATGAGCTGAGGCAGAGATCTGTGGGTTTGTCACCTTCCTTCCTGTTCTGTGGCATCCTCAGCTCTGATATTTACCTCTCATTGAAGCCAGTTCCATACATAAGTTACCAGTATTTTTTACTATCTGCATATAATAAACTACATCTGAATATCTGCATGCATCAAACACTTGAGCAGCTTGATCCACTTGAATTGCATAGGAAGTGAATTTGATGCCATTCAGGAGTTCCAAGGGCCAGGTATGTGCATTTTTTGCCCCATCCCTGGAAGTGTCCAAGGCCAGGCTGGATGAGGCTCTGAGGAAGCTGGGCCAGTGGAGGGTGTCCCTGCCCATGGTAGGGGGTGGAACTGGATGATCTTTAAGGTCTCTTCCAACCCAAACCATTTCGTGGTTCTGTAATCTGCCAAGTCTCTGCTGTGGGGTCCAGAGCAGCACCATGACATAGCCTGTGTATCCAGATGAGAGTGGCCCCCTGCTCCTTGACTTTCTCAAGCATTAGAACAGGTCTTCTTTGATAATCTGTCCTTTTAGTTCTGGTTGGAAGCCACAGCAGTCACAGGACCAAAGAGCAAAAGCTGCACAGTCTAGAAGCCCTCAGGATTGTTTTCCTGCTGATACTTGCTATTGATAATGATTCTGTGGCAATCACTTCTAAACTATGCTGGAGATAGCCAGGTTTTTCACTGGTTAATATATTTTTTCATCTCGATGGAGTTGTCTGAGCTGTCACACATTCTACATAACTGAGTTCCTTATTACTGTGCCTGTCATTCATGTCCCTGCAATCCCCTTTTTTCTTACCAAATCACTGAATGAAAAACCCAATTCACTTTGGCACTAAGAGCTCCCATAATACTATTTCAGTGAAGGAGCAATGTTGGGGGTTATTTTTCTACTGAGTTCTTGCTGAAACTAAAAGTTCTGAGGCTTTTGTGTGCAGTCCCTGCAGAGCTGCCCTTCGCAGTTGTGCTAAAATTCATCAAAGGGCATCCATTCCCGGAGTGTAAAAGTACCACATTGCTGAGGACATCTCTCCATCTGCCAGCCGTGCTAGTGAACATCTGCAAAGCACCACTGGGAATACTTCAGGAAGAGGGAAGGTTTTAAAAAAATAAAATGTGTTTCATGATATTAAAAGCAAAAATCCAGTTTATGTGAACAATAAAATAGTTTGCCCAAAATGAAATTTGTGAAAATTCACTGCAGGTGATTATTTTTTCACCAGGGTAAAAAACATTTGATGGAAAGGTTTTGTGTCTGTAATTCTGAGTCTTATACATCAGTATAAATAACTCAACAAACATTACTTAAACTATCTGATGGATATAATAAAATATAGTCCCATCTACATGTGACAGACAGAAAGCATTGATCTGATTTATCACTTCCATTGATTCACACAGATAAATCATTGAACTCTTTTTAGGACTGGGGCACCAAAAATACAGAAATGAAACCTGCTGGTTCATGAGCAATTAGAAAACTTCAAGGAAAGGTCTTAATAGAAAGCTCTGCAAGAAAGAAAAAAAAACCAAAACAACACCAAAAAAAGTGTGTAAAGTTCACTATGATTGTAAAGTTCACTATAATTGTAAAGTCCACAATAATTGTCTCCCTGACCCTGGGTCAGCAAAAACCCACTATGCTACCAAAGGTCAGTCAAACCCTCTTCTAGACTGGATTGCCCTTCTAATGCCCTGACCCCCCAAATTCAAAATCTTCATCCTAAATCACCTTTCCCAAAAACATTTGTTTAAATACTTCCATGGTTTCCATAAATTACAGAAATGCAGTAGCTGTCCAACAGCGTCAGCACATGATATCTTTCAATGAAAAACTCCCAACACATGATCTGCCTAATTCCTAAAGCTGCTTTGAAAAGCTAATCTTTGGTGTTTTGCCCTTCAAAAAGGTTTGTTATGTATCTGGTGACAGACACAACACAGTGGTATGAGAAATGGTACTACCCTCTAGTTTATTTGGAGTTTGCTAATGATCTATGCCCACTGGAAAAAGAAGAGGATGTATCTACACCCCAGGTGGCCCCAGGTGACGAAGCTGAACCCCATCACTTGGCTTTGGGCTGTTTCTTGGAGAGTGGGGGTCCAGGGTCCTAGTTCTGCATTGGTCCCCCCACGTGGGACTGAATCACTGCAGTTCTCTGCATTTTCCCTCGATGCAGTTGCTGGAGATCACTTGGTGTCTCTGTCACACCTCTCCAAATATTCTCCTGTCATTAAAAACAGTGACTCCCCCAGGGACACAGGCTGGATATGAGGGGATGACTCCAGCTGAGTTTTCCCTGCCTTGAGTGTCTGAGACTGAGTGAGAGTGAGTGAGTGAGTGAGTGAGTGAGTGAGTGAGTGAGTGAGTTCTCATTGTTCTCTATCCCCTCATTTGGTGGTCTGGACTTATTTTGAGCACTCAAAAGTCTTGCTGTCAGCCCCTTCTGCTGTTCTGAAGGAGTGCTCCAAACAGACTGCTTTCCAGCTGTGATCCTTCGTCTTTTACTGTCTGCAAAGCTGTCGTGGCATGTCCTGCAGAAACCTGCAGAAGAAATGCTGGCCCAGGTCCCACTTGGCCAGGCTGGGCTCCTGAGCATGGCACTAAAGGTCAGTGGTTCACTCCTGCGGAATCCCAGGAATCTTCTTCATTTGTTTCCTCCTCTTTCCAGTCCCCTAATCAGATAAACCGTGTGGGGAGAGGCAAGAGAGCGGGGGGAGGAGTATGTGATGTAACCTCTTATTCTGGCTAAGTTGCGTGATAACCCCACGGTGCCTGTGGCTCGCAGTGGGGTTTAGGTGGCACCGCTAGGAGACTGAAGAAGATGGCCTGAAGATTCACCACGGCTGTGGGAGACCTCGCAGGGGATGTGCTCACCTCCTTTGTGAAGAGGAAGGCTGCAGCTCCTTGTCTTGCCGGCTCCACCTGCGCCACGATTGGCTGGGGACAGCCCTGGAGAAAGGGATACTTGGAGCCACTTGCGCTGCTGAGGTGAGTCTGCTCCTCCTTCCTGCCTCTTCCCGACGGGTTTGGGGGGAAGGAAGGGGAGTGAGCTGGACTGCGTGTGGGTTTTTTGGGCACTTGTAACCGTGTGGAATCCCTGAGGGATTGACTCTGAGCCTGCTGATAATCGCCGACTAATCCGGGTGCTGGCAGAGTCCACCCGGATAACACGGGCATGTGGCTCTGAGTCAGGATAGGTGTGACACCTGCCAGGGGTCTCTGGCTTTGTGTCAGAGGAACACCCGAGAAGGACGAACTGCAGAAGAGAAATTTGGGGGTGTCTGTCACTGACACAATGTGGGGCGTGGGTCTCACAGTCCGTGAGGAGGGGTCAAAGGAGAAAATGTACTTTTCTCAATGCCAGCAGGAGATGAACCTGGAGGACGCTGCCCCTCTGTATTTGCTAATGGAGAGAACTGGATCAGGTAGCTCAAGCTGTTGAAACTAACTGCAGAAAAGTGTTTTCTAGGAGAACTTCTAAGTGCCTTTGAAAACATCTCCCTACTAAAGGAAAGAAGGGAAGAGGAGGATGATCATAATATGTAAGAGTATTCTGCTTCATATACTATATTACAGAATCTATACAAGATAGAACAAAATTAATGTATAAACTGGGGCCTCAGAAAAACCAAATAACCAGCTCTGTTAACACCTCTGGAGCTGCAGCAGTGCTGAATGAATCCCTAGCTGCCTTCCAGCACTGGGAATATCTAATACTACCTGTGGAAAGATGCAGTTATGACACTTGGTGTTTGTCCTCACATGAATGTTGTGCCCACACTGCTTTAGGAAAAAATGCCATGTGACTGATTTCCCAGTGGTACTGGCAGTTCCCTCCTGGATCTGGCAGATCACATGCAGCTGCTCAGAGCATTTTTTAGAGGTGAAAACTCCATGCAACATCAAAATTTGTAAATTAAATAATAAATTATTAAAATTTATAAATAAATAGAATCTGGAAGTTAAGTAGCTAATCATTGCGGGGGGGGGGGGGGGGGGGCTTCTCTTTCTTCCCTTTTTAAAGGGGACTTTAATCCTGGTCTAAAAGTTAATTTTTTTAGAAAGCAAACTGTTATCCTTTCTGTTATCCTATCCTTTCCTTATCCTTCAACTTCCGCTGTAGTTCTTTGTCTAAAGAACCTCCTCATTCCTGACTCAGTCAAGTTAATTTCTTTCCAGAACTTGGGATGGCTTCAACTTGGCAGAAAACTCAGGAATTCTACAACTGGATTCTTGAAAGTGGAGGTAGGTAGAGATGCTGTCTAAAATGGGAATTTCTGCATCAACAGCATGATCATGAAAACCAAACCTAAAAAGAATGCAAATCTTTACCCTAGCCCACATTTTCCTAAATAAGAAGATTTCCACTTTTCCTTCTCCATGATCACGAACTTCCCTTAAGTCTTGAAATATATCTCATTGACCCTCCAGTTGGATCACAGTAAGGAATGAAGGGACGAGGAATTTCCCAGTGGGCAAGGAGCAATAAATGCCTGAGATTGTTGAGTCTGGAGTACTAAAGAACATGATTTTTTTAAATGCATATTCATGTGTCATGAGAAAGCTTAGTTGACTAAAGAGTTAATACTTTGGGGGGTTTAAACTCTTTGTGATGCCAGGAAAACCTGTTATCAAATGAAATATTGGCAGGAACCACTCCTCAGTGCTTGAGATTTGACAGCTTGCAGTGAGGAGACATCAGATTTTCATTAGTTAAAGGCTCAATTTGGTTCCAAAGGGCTGTGAAGTATCTCTGGATGTAAAGAAAAGCCACAAAATGCCATGAAGGTAGAACAGCAGGCTTGCAGGAGGAAGACATGAGGCATAATGCTTAGACTTTACATAAGGCTCAGTAAATGTTTCACGACTTAAATTTCACAAGAAAGTATAAATTGTGATCCAGGACTTCTGATGAGCTGCTAAATCTAGAAATGGAATGTCAAAGAGCTCCTAACACAGCTCATAACACCCATCATAAAGAACTGGAAGGTTTAGAAGGGAGAGGGATTAACAGAGTTGTCCAGACTGGTACGGCATTTATAAAAAAATGAAGGGGGTTGACAGAGCAGTGATCACACAGCAAAGGAAAGCATGAATGGTACCTGGGATGTTTTTGCTGATATAATATATCCTGGATGACAGCAGGATTAGGAGGAGGTGGCATGACAGAAAATCTCTTCAGTTTGCTGTAGGACCAAAGAGCTGTTACAGCAGGGTAAGTGTTTTGGCATTTCCTAGTGAATTCATGCTTCTTAAGAGAGCCCACTGTATGAGCAGATATAAAAATGAAGGAGTGGAGAATTTTAGATATCCTGAGGATTGTAAGGAAGTAACACCAAAGATTGAAACACTTTTATTCTAAAATTGTAAATTTACACTCCTGAGGAGCCACTGTTGCTTTGGCTGCTCCTGTGCCTACCTACACAGTATCTGGGATCACTCCTTTCACCCAGGGACGGCTCCAGCTCATCCCAGGAAAGATCTGCCTTCCAGTACAGCAGTCCATACCCAAAAATTCGGCTAAAACCTTTGTGCTAAGTCCTTTTGGCAGAGTCAGAGCAGAAGGACTGAGGTGCAGCTTTGCAAAGACACAAAGACACCAATTTTCTTTCTGCAGCGAGCGCACCCAAGGGAAGTATTGAAATACAATTAAATATATCCGCCCCTTGCTGTGTGGAGGTGCCAGCTGTGGCTGTGTGTTTTGCTTCTCAGATCCAAGGACAGACCCGTGGCCACTGGTTTACTCCCCACTTCCAGTCACCCTGATCTTCACCTCCTACCTCTTCATGGTGGCACTGGGACCGTCCTGCATGCGGCAGCGGCAGCAGCTGGAGCTGAGGGCTCTGCTGCTCACCTACAACCTGGCCATGGTGGCATTATCCAGCTACATGTTTTATGAGGTGAGGAGGCAGGATTGGCTCCTAGGTAAGCACCTGAGAAAGGTTTGAATTCCAGAGCCTCCAGATTCCAGGGTTTGAACAGCTTTTGCTGATGGACTCTGCTGAAGGGAGTGGAAGCTGGTTTGGACATGTCCATGTTTTGCCACAAGAGGAGCAGTATTGTCCTGCTGTGCTTGATTTCCTCCCATTTCTCAATATACCCACCATTCATGAAATTAACATGGAATTTCATTCATGCTGAATGAATGAATTGCAGGTTGGGAATTCCCCATTTAGGCACAGATTTTGTGGAGAATGTGGAATGATCTCATTTCGTCTCGAGTCTGGCTGGTGATGGATCCATCTCTGAGGATAAGAACCACTGGACTAGTGGAAGATGTCCCTGCCAAAGGCAGGGGTTTGGGACTAGGTGATCTTTAAGGTCCCTTCGAACAATCTATGATTTTCCAAAGTTGGCAGTTCTCTCCGGAAGTGCCAAGCACTCTCTGTCTTCCTGCTGCTGAGAATGTTAAGAACTTGTTTTTCTGCTTGTTCTTAATGCATAAGCCTTTCTACAAGCCTTTCCCCCCAAGTTTATGTAGGCCACTGAAAAGTCTTTGAGGGAACATGGCCAAATAGGTTTCAAAAACATTCTGTTGCCAACAAATATGCCCTTTTAATTTGTATTACAAGTCTTACATTAACACTAACTGCTTTTGGTTTTTTTTAACAAATGCTGCTCCATCTGAGGACAGGTGTGCAAATTGCTTTTCTACACTTGATTGTTCAGTTCTACTGGTTATTTGGTCCAGTTTTTGGCTTTCCAGTGAACAAGCAAATGCAACCTACCAGAACAGAACAGAAAGATCTTTGCAAAGGAGAGCAGAGTCTCTCAGAGAAACTTGGAAGCCTAGAATTCAGTATTCCTGCTGAAGTAGTTTTGAGCCCTCCAGTGATTACACAAAGAAATACAAATCTTCCCAGGCCCAATTTGCATTTTTTGAGATTTCAACCAGGATGTGAAGTACTTTGTTTTAGGTTTTTACTATTTGTCCCTGTATTTTCTGTCAGTACTATCAGACTGAAACCTCACTACCTTAGCATTAATATGCCCATCTTTTTCAGAACAGATGGCATTGAACAGAAAACTGATTTCTATTTGCTTTTTGTCTGTTTCAGTTTCTGGTCACTTCAGTCTTGGCTAACTACAGCTACCTGTGCCAGCCAGTGGATTACAGCCGGAGTGAGCTGGGAATGAGGGTACAGTTCTGGAGAAAGCTTGCCTTAGGCCCCGCCCTCCCATGGCTAGGCAGATCCTTTTGCTCATAAATAGCAATTTGCCTGGCTAAGAAGGCTTTGATTCCAGTTTGTTGTTGCCTGTAAATCTATTCCACTAAATTGTCTCCTTCAACAGTTGTTGTGCTTTGCTTTAGGTCTCTAAAATTAATCATCTCAGTCAACCCAGCCATCTAAGTTTGCTCTTTGACCATTGCAGAGAGGGTGATCTTACCAGCTGAAGTATCAATATTGCAAATCAATTATTGAAATAAATGTGATTCTTTGCATGGATTATAAGGATTCTGGGTGATCTCTTTCCAACAAGAAAACTGATTTTTGTATCCTCTGACTTGTATGACAGAAATCTCACTTAACCCTTCTTTTAGCAGGGGGGTTTAGCTAAAACTATTTCTTGGTCATCACAGGGGTTTGGGTCCCACCAGCATCAGCTTTCCAAAAATGCTGCATGAGATTTTTCTCTTTGAATTTGGAGTTACAATACAAGCATCGTAGTATCTTTTCAGTTTTTCAATCTTGCCATCTGGACAAAAAAAAAAAAAAAAAAAAAAAAAAGGGCCCCTTAATTTCCCTTAATTTTCCCCCTTGCTGCAGACCGCGGGTGGGCAGGTGGGCAGGGATACAGCGTGGTTGAAAATGTGTTGATTCGGGGTAAAGCTTTAACCGCCGTGCCTTGTGCTGCCCAGCAGATGGCAAGAGTGTGTTGGTTGTTCTTCTTCTCCAAAGTCATCGAGCTGCTGGATACGGTAAGGAGGGTTCAGCTCTCAGCTCCTCAGCGGGACAGGGGCTGGACACAGATACTTCTTTGGCAGAAAGGGGCAGTGTGCCAGAACTGACGCCCTGGGTTGATCACATATTGATTCGCTGCCTGTCTCCGTCCCTTGGCTGCACACACTCCCTCCCCAGCACCCTTCCTGAGGCTGGGCACAGTGCTAGGGGAGAGGCTTTACCCCTGGCTGCTGCCAGGTGGGTCCCCAAAATTTTAGCTGCTGGTGCCACACAGGTTCTGCTATTGCCTGGCTGGCTGATTAACAGTGAGGCTGAAAAGGAGCTGGACAAGTCCTGGCATCTCTGCTGCCATGGATTTTCCCAGAGCTCTGCACTAAAGGTTTGTGTCCTGGAGGAATTTAAAGTCCACCTCTTTACAGCTTGTCGTCAGGTGTCCTTCTGCACTGTAAATGAACTAAGTGACTGGACAAGGCCTCTGCTTGGCCAGCAGAAGACAGCTGTGTCCTAGCCTGAAATTTCAGCTCTCTGGGGTGTAAGTTAACAACCCACTGAAATGTGAATGAACATGTGGATCCTTCCTAGATCTATTGCCAGGGTTTTGGCTGATCCCCTCTCTGTTTGCATCAGCAACAAAACAGCTTTTTGCCAGTCCTGAGTGCCTGAAAAGCAGATTCACTTTTTGTTGTGTGTGTATGAATATGCATGGGGAAATGCAGTGACCTGACATGTATTCATCTGGCAAAACCCTTCTGCTTACTAATGCAAATTCCAGGAGGGTTTGGCCATTCAACACAGTGGATTTTCTATGGGTTATTGTCCAGTAGCGGTAAATATACAAGCTATGTCCTGAAAAGGAGCAGATCCAAGCAGCTGTGAATTGTATGGAAGGTCAGTTAGAGTCTCAGATGTGTCCTCTTTGGACTTTGGACCCTGAATCCAGACATAAAAATATCTGGGGCTTTGTAGAAGAAATTCTGTCTTCTAGCTCCCCCTACAAGTTCTATTGTGTTTCACCAGTTTTTGTCAACAGCAGAGGAAATGGGTTTGGGAGATTCAGACTCATAATTAACTATTTTTATAACTTTTTACTGTGAAATTTTTATCTAGACACGTCAACTCAAGGTTCTCCTTTGCCTGGCTTCTTTCAGGTTTTCTTAATTCTGCGCAAGAAACAAGAGCAGGTGACTTTTCTGCATGTGTACCATCACGGCTCTATGCTCTTCAACTGGTGGTCAGGGGTCAAATATGTGCCTGGAGGACAAGGTATGCTTGCAAGAAATGCTGCTGCAAGAAAACCTTGTGTTTCTCACAGCTTTTTTGGGCCATAGAGGTAGCATTAACAGTGCAGATGGGCTGAATGGCAGGTAGGAAGCTCACCTACTTCCAAAGGTGAGAAAAACATGTGCATTTCAGATGATCCCATCTGCTCAGCTTTTGGGGCTGTTTAGGCTGCCCTGTTCACTGCCTCAACCAGAATAAGAGTGTGCCATCAGAGCAAGTCAAAACAGAAAAAAATAACATCCCACAGAAGGTCACTGTGTATCTCCTCCCAGAGCAGTGCTCCCTCTCTCTCCACTCAGAGGCCCTGGGGCAGCAGGCCAGGTTCTGGCTCTGTTTCCTGCTGTGGCTGTGCCCATTTCTGGGCGGTATCCAGAACACTGCCCCTTTTTGCTCAACTGGAAGAGAAGCATCTGTCTACTAAGCATCTGGGTACTCTGGTAGGCCTTATACAAGATGTTGAGGCATTCTTTTTTTGGGAAGTCATTTTGGCTACACAGCCTTGACACCAGAATGGTATGAAATGCTTACGTCAGACGATCAAAGTCTCTCCTCTGCCTTTGAAGCCCTTCTCTGTCTCTGAACACTTGATATGGGATGGGTATATCATGGATACACCAGCCTTGGCAGTGTTCCAGGCCAGATGAGATGGGGCTTTGGGGCAACTCTCGTGGGAGATGTGCCCTGGGGATTGGAGCTGATGGCCTTTAAGGTCCCTTCTGACCCAACCTATGCAACAACTCTGGATGCTGAAGGAAGGGAGAAGCTAATGTGCTTCCACAGTGTCCTGGTTTTGCATGGGAGGTATGAGATCCCAGGTGGAATGTTATGCACAGAGGTGGATGTGGTATGTTTTGGAAGCGTCATCATAGTGGCTGTTAGCCCTTCACGGGGTTAGCCTGGAATGCGTCGTGTGCCTTGTTCACCCTCACTTTCTCACTCCTCAGCCTTCTTTGTTGGGATGCTGAACTCCTTTGTCCACATCTTCATGTACGGTTACTATGCCCTGGCCAGCCTGGGACCGCGGATGCGCCAGCACCTGTGGTGGAAGCGTTACCTGACCATCCTGCAGCTGGTAATTAGCTCCAGGTGTTCACCCCTGCCCTCCCATGGCTCAGGCGTGATGGCCTCTGCTGTCTGTCACCTCACTGGCTCCATTTGCTTGCTGTCCATGGAAGGCAGCACGTTCCCAGGTGCCCTCATGTGCCACTCTGAGAGGCGAAGCCATGGGTGACCTGCTTCAAATGCTTTCACAAGACTATCAGAGGCCTTCAGTGACCATCTCAAACTAATTATCCACAGCTTTGTAATGGGAAGGGAAGAGAAAAATTAACAATTGGATTCCTCTTTTTTATGTTGTATATGGAGCAGTGAAAACGGAGCTTGATGTGGAGAGGTAGGGACAGTGGTTCAGGGAAACTGGATTCTCAATAAGGCAGCAGACTGGGGAGCCTTGATTCAGTTCCTTCAGAAAGGAAGAGGGTCTCTAGGCAAACAGGCAAGTTAAAGAGAAATGTGTGAATATTACTCTTTCTCTAGAAAATCCCTTTGGATTTTCTTTCCCTCATCTCTGATGAAGTTACAAATCTGGAAAAATCCGTGTTTTTTTAAAGATACAGCATAAATGCAATGGTCCAAACAAGGACAATGGTTGTAGGAGAGATTTTTTCCACTCAAAGAGAGGCTTTGCAAACCAAAAGTATACAGTTACAAGGGAAGAGGAAGAGGATATGTGTAAAACACTGGTGCAGTGAAGACTGCTCCAGAATTCTTACTTAGCCTGCATGGCAAAACAGAACAAGAAAGCATTGCATGAAATAAAAAGGTATTTCTAATGCAAATTATAGCAAAGGAAAAAAAATATTTAATAGCTCTTTGGTACGTAGAACTCATTGCTTCAGGGTATTGAGACAGGTAACTTAGTAAAATACAAAAAAAATATTAATGTTGAATGTTTAAATGAATAAATGTAGTATCTGTATTTCCTCTGTGCAAGTTAAAATACAAATCAAAATAATTATGGGTGTAACAACCTGATTACCACTGGGGAAGAGGAATCTATCACCTTCACTTTTCATATTCCAGCATCTCAGTTACTGCACTATGGCAGAGAAATGAGCCAAGGGCAGGAGAGACAGGATTGGTTAAGCCTTCAGGTTTGATGGACATCTTTCCTGGTGGGAAAACACTGCTAAACTTGAAAGGAAGGTTCCCAGGGATGTCAGGAGAGGCAAGCAGGTGATCCCCTGGGTTGAGGACACTGCTAGGACGTTGTGATAGCTGTGATGGTCTCAATGGCCAGCTGAGGTGTATCTCATGAAGGTCCCCTAATCTCACTGCTTCTTTTTTCCACCTCTTCCAGTGCCAGTTTGTGGCCATTGCTGCTCATTCCTCCTACAACCTCTTCACAGAGTGCCCGTTCCCCGATGGCTTCAACACTGCAGTCTTCCTCTACATCCTCAGCCTCCTGGCTCTCTTCCTACGCTTCTACTATCACACCTACGTCAGGGGAAAGCGGGAAAAGCTGACTTGAAGGAAATCAAAGAGGACAGAGAGCACAGCCTGATGAACATGAGCATTCTCTGCTGCTTGTGACATGGTTCCAGGAAGGAAATGTATCTGGGGAGTGTGTGTGAGGCTCACGTCTAGCCTTCAAATATCCCAGGTTAGGGAGAAGAAAGGAATGATGTAAACTCAGGGATTTAGGAACTGAGGAGCTCACTTAATTAAGCTGAGGCCAAGCTAAGCCAAGTAGTCACAAGCATAGCAGGCTTTGGGACATTTGCAAGATAAGGTCTTTTTCTCTTCCATCTTTAACTTGGTGTCCAAGGTCTAGCAGCCAGCTACAACTCCCTGCCTCATTTCTTAGGCTGTAAAGGGTTTCTTTGCATCCACAGAACTATCTCAGCTTGTTGTTGTAGGTCAGGCAGGGTCATGTGCCTCCAGCCTGGAAATCAATGTCCAGGTAGCAGCAGCAGCCAGGAATCCACAGGGACTGCAGGATGTACACTGCATCCCACCCGTCCTGCTAAGGAAGCTCCTACTAGGCCTGGGGTGGTCCTGATGGTTTAACTTCTTATCAGTATAAGCAGCAAAGAAATTGCACATTAGGTTGTCTGGCTGGACAGGTGTCTTCACTGTCCTGAAGCTAAAGAAGGCATTATTAGCACTTTCATCCTAATAAGAAGCCAGTGCAGTAAGAGTCACCATGCCCCATTTTCTGGAATGCTCATTTCCCTTTGGTTGTTCTCATACCAACAGAGGATTTTAATACATGAAGATACTTGGTATTGCTCCTTGTAGATGCCATAACTCAACTAGAAAGAATAGATTGATGTTCCCTTTTCATAACATTTTCTCCAATCTGTTATTATTTTTAATACTGTTATTTTTATATTTTGCTTCTTGTCAAACATAAAGAGTTTAACAACACCATAAGCAACCACCTCCACTACCTAATTGTATAAGAATTAATATAAAATGTATAAAATCAATTCATTGGGTAGTGCAAAGCTGCATAGCTCCATTGATTTTAAGATATCACTAACTGGCTTCTTTTTTTTCCTCCTAAATCAACTACAACTAGAATTTGGCACTTACATTCATCTGCCAACTGTTAAATACTGTTGAAGTTCTGATGTGATAGTACTTTGAAGATCCTAATTAAACTACAAAGTGGTAATTATTGATTGAATCCTGCTCAGCTGATTAAAACTGGTACTACAGAGTAGTAGTATTTTGTAAAACACAAAGGTGTTGAAGGAGAGGATTGGAATTAGTGACATGATGCACTGCCATTGCTAAGCCAAATCCATCTCAAATATAAAAAAGTCTAACTCCACTGGGAATGTCCAGAGGACTAAATCTGGCCTGAACAGCAAATGGATGTACCCCTAAAGACCTGTGTGCCCTTCACCAATCTGGAGTTGAGTGGCTGCAAAAAATAAATTCAACTTGTTCTTCACTGCCCTGTGCTCGTACCCCAATCCTTTCCTTCAGCCCCTCCATGCACATGCGGAAGCTAAAACAATATTCTGCTATTCCTCACCCTCCTCCCCTTCACACACAGCCACTAAGGACTTGTTCACACTGTCAGAGGTCACATCTTCAGTGTCCTTCCTTTGATTCGAGCAGTCTCTCTTCTGGTTGTGACTGGTGAGTATCAGAATCACTGCATCCGTGCTGGGGAAGAGGAATCCACCACCTTGGTTTTCTTCCTGTCAACTATTTTTCTTTGCAAATAAATTAATAAATAGTGACACTTCCAAATACCGTACTTCTTCTTCTGTCAGATTTTTAACTAGCAAATCCCTGGATGGGTCTTTCATTCCTCCTCTTGTTTGGAAAGACAGGAAAACGGGATCTACTGTAAATCTAACATATTCATGTGGAGGATTTCCCCTGGGGGCTCTCCAGAGCTGAAGACTCGGTGCAAGTAAAGCTGTTACATTACGCTTGTCCACCTAATGATTAATTTACGGCCCTCTCCTGCAGTCTCGCCCTGCAGCCACAGGAGCTGGACAAATGCTGGCTAGCCGCTCCCGGAGCGGCCCAAGGAAACCACGAATCCCGCCACTCGCAGGTTCTTCGCAAGAACCCCGGGTAGTGGTGCCGTCTGCGGCGTGGGTGGCGAGGCGAGAGCGGGACTATGAAGCACTGAGGCGAAGGAAGGAGAGAGCAGATACTCGTATGGGTGCCAGGGCGCTTTATTGTCCCAAGCGGGGCCAGTGACGGTGTCAGGGAAGGACTGCTGGAAAGGCACTGATAAAGGGGATGTGTGTGACAGGAGCAGACACGAGGGAACCAATAAATGAAGCCCAGGGGAGGAGCAAGGGACACAACTGAACCAATAAATATTGCACAGGGGAGGGAAAAGGCTCAGGAGACAAAGATCTTAAGGGACAACTGACATAGCAATTTCTCGAAATAAAGGGGGTGTGGTTACAATGATGGACAGGGGAACTGGGCAGCATCAGGAGGGAGGAGATAAACTTCTAAGGACATAAGGGGAAGGACTACGGGATCGGCCACCTTAACAGACAGGTCACTGGCGGGAAAACAAGGGACAAACAACTCAGGGACAAACCATTTTGAGGGAGGAACATGGGGGAAACCGAGGGTCAAACCATAATCTCGACTTATAAAAAATAACCAACTTTACAAGAAAACCTGTATAAAACACAAAATGCTACACTCTCCTGCTTAAACTCTCAGTACCTTTGGCCCCCTAGTTTTGTGGTAGAGCATTTCCTGCAGCTGGCTAAATTATCTGTGCTCACAAAGCAATCTAATGCTCTTTTTCCTATACACGAGCAGGTTTCGACTTCAGTTTCCCCCTCACTTTAATGTTTTCAGAATGTAGTAACTAAGTTCACTAATAATTTTATACCAGACTAAGCATCACATATTTTGATTTTCCTTGATTCATGACTGCTTAAAAAGTAGAAATAAGCACGAAATCTGAATGAGATTACTCCTTGCTTTTCCACTCTTAAAATACATGTATTTTTAAACATGCCATTTATCTGTTTTTAATGCAGCCTATGCAGGTTAATTTGTGTCTATGTACGACAAAGCAATGGTTTCTGGAGTGTCACTGGCCACATAGGTGGTAACAAAACATGAAAGTACAAATTTCACCTGACAGCTTGAAGTGACTGATCACCCAATTCAGACACTGCTGTCACCACTTGTTCTAGACATGAAACCTTTGATTTATTCCTGTCGCTCTTCCTCACAGCCTGAGTGAATGGCCTGATCTTGAATGAGTAAGAGCTTTTTGTTGGTGTGACTTTGATGGCACAGGATGAAAATGAAGTATTTTCAGTTGAATGATAAGGAGGAATTGATTTTGCCCAGAAACACCATGCTTTCCATACAGAAACAGACACTGGCATGGAGCACAGCTGTTACAGAAGCACTGATGCAAGCAAAATTAACTTGTGAGGATATTTGCACTGGCAGTGAAGAAAAAACTGCAGTGGTATAGCTGAGAGGCTCTGCAGGTTACTCCTTCAGATTGCCCTTGTTTGTCTTCATTCTCCTCTTTTAAAATCGGGTTGTCCTAATTGGAACTGTCCACCTGAGCAATCCTGTTGTAACAAAAAACCTGAAAGCACAGCCATGTGCTCCGGGAACTTAACAGAGAGGAAAGGCACCAAATGGGATTTCCCCTCTAAAATCAAGTCCCTGGAATTCAATATTACACCACAGAAAACCAATGGAAGTCAAAAGGGGTGGGAAATTATAAATTACAAGCTTGGATGGCTCATGCTGTCTGGTAGAGTCCAAAACTTTGAGGATGGGTTGAAAATACCCTGTCACAGCTGGATTTGTGGAAAACCTCTGAACCAAATGCTGGTTCTACCTATTTGAGTGACAAAGGCTGGAGCTCCTCTGGGATGAGGCTGGCACAGCTGTGTGGAAAGCAGCACGCTCAGCTCCACAGCCATGTGTGCGGGGGGCAGGAGTGTTATTCAATCCTATGAACAGATGACTTTTGAGGGCACGGTGGTGTGTAAGTCTCCCTCTTACAAACTGTGGGTCATTAAATGTTTGGTGAGCAGTTTCCATGGACAAGATGTAAAAGCATAGTGCAAGTAGGCTGCTGAAATGAATAAGCTTGATATCTGGTAGTGCTCAGCATCTTTCCTGCTGTTCCAGTCAATGTAAATTATGGATGTTCTGATCAAATTACTTTTGAATTAAGCAGACCATTTACTCAGTGCTTACTTTCTCTCTGAAGATAAATGAGAGAGATTCTCATTTTAATCAAAACAAAATACAGAAAAGAAAATCAATTACTATTTAATGTTTTTTCCATCCTTGTGTGATGGAAAGTTTCCAGAGGAACTTGGGCTTAAAATTGCAAAGCAATATAAAATGCAGGGACATGGCTGGGTTTTAGCTATTGGATTTTTTTATATACTATTAGAAAACATGGTTAAGTTGTTTTTGGTTTTGGTTTTTTTTAAGGCAAAAGAATTACTCTAAACAATTAAACAAGAAAAATCAGAATGCAGTAGATTGCTTCATCCAAAAAATAAAAATCTGTTGATACAGAGGTAAACCACCTAGAAGCCAAACATTTAGAAAGATCAGCCAGCCCTATATATAGAACAGTGTGAATGTGCTGAATTCATTAATAAATAGCTTCATGGATTAGGGCTTGATAGATGGAGATCTCCATCCAGATGTTTATTGTGATTTGTCAATGGCCTGGTACTTAATCCTCCTGGACAGGAAACAGGAGTCTTTTCTCTAGGATCTCCCCTCGGGACTGAGGCAGTGCCTCCCTCTGGCCTGAATCCTCTCAGCACTGGATGAGGCTGCCGAGGAATTAACCAAGTGGCAGAGGCACGGATTTGCCTTTAACCCTTTTGGTTCCCTCTCAGCTTCAGATGATTTCCTAACCATCTGCCATAACCTCGCTGTTTTTTAGTCAACTTATGAAAAAGGAAAAAAGGGAGTCACCCATGTCACCCTGGGGTCCCTGTACCCACAAAATGTGCCGAGGGAGGCACATGGATTCCCATCAGCACTGAGGAGGAGGAGGGCTGTGGGCAGCCTTAAGAACTTGGTGTGCCACTCTTCACTGCTCAGCGTCGTGTTTTCATTTTTGTTATGCTGCCACTCCCTGTCAGTGACAGGGATGGCCCAAGAGGTAGTATTTGTGAGAAGACTGATGTCCCCAAGGTGTCCTCGGTCAGGGTACCAGAGTGTAGTGTGTGTATGAGTGAGTTTGGGTGTGGGTAGGTGAATGCAGCCCCTGCAGAGAGTCCCCACGGCTCATTTCTCATCACGCCTCTCTGTGGGACGGGTCCTTCATCTTGCTGTGGGACGCTGAAGGACAGCTCCCAGCAGCCACACCTGCTATGGAATGGCACAGTGGGTGCTGCAGGGAATGCTAGGTTTTGTTGTGGATGTGCAGGATTGTAAAGGACTGATTTCCTGTGTTCAACTTCTGGCTAAATCACAAGTACAAATGTGGACTTTTCAGGGACTGCCTGGTTAAAACATCAGTAGCACATCTCAGCCCTATTCTTCCTTAGTCTGCCTGTCATCTTTTCTCTCCAGTACCTTGGCTTTCTGCTGTGCTTCAAGAGTCTGTCTTTACACTGAGCTGAAAAAGTGAGGGCTATTAAACAAAAATTGTCCTTTAAAATTCCTGCTTGGAGTAGATGTTCCTTCCCCTTTAACATCATGCTCCCACTTTTTCTTGTCCCTTTTCTCCGCTCTTCTTTTGTACCCACACATACAGACACTGTAATGGATTCTCAGACCTTTTAAAGCTGCAAAGAAAGTAGCTACAAGTCACTCAAATGCTGTACAAGCAGCTGCATTTTTCCGATCTATCAATTAATAGTGTACATTTTCTTCATAGGGTTTTCTGCAAGGCTTTAATCCAAGTGAATTTGGGCAAGTCTTTATTTTTCTTTGCACTTTAGCATAATCCTATCTGCCTTCAAATTCAGGATGTGGACACTGCAACTTGATACTTAGAAAAGCTAGAAACTTGAACTAGAACTTAAATTTGGTATGGTCCCTTCCAGGCATTCCCTGCTATTAATAAAGGAATGGCAGAATGGATACAAACATCTGAGAGGCAGCAAGTTACTGCTCTTCTGTACACTTTATTCTGCTCTGAGTGGTGCCCACCATCACAGATGTCTGAGGATGTTTTCTCCTGAAATAATAAATGGTTATTCCTGAGGCAATGTTTGGAGGGAGAATGCCTTGCTGACAGAGCTGGAAAACCAGAATAGTTTTTGAATGTGCAAGCCCTACTCTGGTTGTAATCCCTGATATGCACTGGTAGCAGATCAGCCAATCCTTATTGGGGTGCACAGCTGTGTCTGTGATGTGTCTGTATTTATCATGGGTTTTGCTAGTCCCAGAGGGTGTTATCCTATATTTTGCAGGTTTAATATGTTATCCCATTAAATAACTGTAAATCAAAGGGCCGTTATTTTGAAAGAACAATTTATCTCCTACATAATTTTGCTTCTAGAAATTACTGGTGTGAGTAAAGCTGTCATTTATTCAGTAGCACACTGGCAAAACAGGTTGGCGATTCTGTGCTCAGTTCTTGGAGATAAAATGCAAGCCACCACTTACAGAAACCATTTAATGCAATTATGGTTTTCTATTTTGGCACTGCTTTTAATATCTTTGGGCAGATTTGATACACAGAGATAATGTTTTAAATTAGGGAGAAGCCACTAATCACAGTGAATCTAGGTGAAGTGTTTGATGGAGCTATGAGTGGCAACATAAGGATTTAAGAAAAAATGTCACTGTGATGCCAACTGGAAGGCAAAATGGTCAACAGTCAATTTTGTTAGAAAACCAGAAACTCCCCAAGAGTATATATACCTATAGGTTCTAGTCATACGGTATTTATATACATATTTAGTGTATTTCCCTGCAGACCTTAAGTAGAATAGATGAGTTCATGGCTTGAATGTAGCAAGTAGGATCTCACCACCGACTGTATTACTGAACTGTAATTGTATCATTGTGTAAAGCTGCTCGCTTCTCTTTAATAAAATGTGCATCTACTGAAATGTTTTAGCCTTGGATGTGCGTTTATGAATGCATCAATGGGAAAAGTGCTTGCAAATGTTAACATGAAAACAGCCCGGCAGAAATGTCGTTTGCTGGCTTGGGAAGCACCTTTTGGAACCGCACTCATTTAGCGAGAAACTCGAGGGAGCAGAAGCGGGGAGTGCAAACGCAAAGCAATCCCTTCCATTGTTCTTATTCCGCTGGGGAATAGGGAGGGGGGGGACACACGCCGAGAGGAGCCCGGAATCCCCGGAGCTTTCAGTTTTGATTTTCATTAGAGGCGAAAGGGGGTGTGCAGCCAGAAGCGCTCGCGGCGAGCAAATCCACGCGCGGGGGCCGCTCCGTAATCCGCCGGCGCGGCGGGGGCGCGGGATGCGGAGCGGAGAGCGCTGTGCCCCGCGGCCCCGGCCCGGAGGGCAGCTCCAGCCCCCTGCCCGGGCGCACGTACCGCCGGCGCCCGGCCTCCCGCACCTCCGGAGCGGTGCCCCCGCCGCGCATCCCCCGCGGGCACCTGTGGGCATCCCCACGGCCGGGCCCCGCTGGACGCGCAGCCCCTCGCTGGGGCGGGGCGGGGCGGGGCGCGGGGGGCCGCGGCATCCCAGCTTCCCGGGGGATGCTGCCGCTGCCTGCGCGGGAGCGCGGAGCAGAAGGGATCCTCTTTGACGTCAAGCGACCATAATATAATGATCGCTCGTTCATATCCGGGTCCCCGGGCGGCTCCCCCGGGCCGCGCTCGGCCGCGCTCGGCGGCGCAGTGAGGGGAGGCGGGTCGGGCAGGGCAGGGCAGGGCAAGGCAGGGCAGCGCGGCCGCCCGGAGGTGGCCGGCGGCGGCAGCGGCACCGGGGCGGCGAGCGCAGTATGCCCGCCGCCTCAGACGCGCCTGCCTCCCGCCGCAGCTGGTGCTGCTGCTGCTGCTGCCCATGGAGATCGCGCTGGTGACTTTGGAGAACGGCGGCACCACGGCCATCGCGGGCGGCGACGATGCCGCGGCCGCCGGCGGCCGGGCGCGCTGGCGGGGCAACTTGCTGCACCTCGCCGGCTCGCCGCAGCTGAGCGACGGCAAGGAGAACGCCCCTCCGCCGCCGCCGCCGCCCGCGGGGGACGAGGAGCGGGAGCGGCCCCCGCCGGGTCCCCGCGCGGGAGGCGGCGGCGGCGCGAGCGGCCCCGACGAGCGGCCGGCGGAGCTCCGCGCTGCCCTCACGCCGCCGCCGCGGCCGCCGCCCCGCGCCCCGCGCCCCGCCGCGGACATGGGGCCGTCCGAGGAAGGGGGACACCGCCGGGGCATGGCCATGGCTGCGGCCGGCGACGAGGAGGAGGAGGCGGCGGCGGCCAACCCGGGCGCCATGCACCATCAGCGGGTGCTGATCAACATCTCGGGGCTGCGCTTCGAGACGCAGCTGGGCACCCTTAACCAGTTCCCCGACACGCTGCTGGGGGACCCCGACAAGCGCATTCGCTACTTCGACCCGCTCCGCAACGAGTACTTCTTCGACCGCAACCGGCCCAGCTTCGACGGCATCCTCTACTTCTACCAGTCCGGGGGCAAGCTCCGCCGGCCCGTCAACGTCTCCATCGACGTCTTTGCCGACGAGATCCGCTTCTACCAGCTGGGTGAGGAGGCCATGGAGCGCTTCCGGGAGGACGAGGGCTTCATCAAAGAGGAGGAGAAGCCCCTGCCCCGCAATGAGTTCCAGCGCCAGGTCTGGCTCATCTTTGAGTACCCCGAGAGCTCCAGCTCAGCCCGGGCCATCGCCATCGTCTCCGTGCTGGTGATCCTCATCTCCATCATCACCTTCTGCCTGGAGACCCTGCCCGAGTTCAGGGACGAGAGGGAGATGCCCGTACCTCTGCCCCCACAAGGTGGAGGTTTAAATGGCACGCCCGGGGACTCCCCACCCATGCAGCCACCCAGTAGCCTGGCTGACCCCTTCTTCATCATTGAGACCACCTGTGTGATCTGGTTCACCTTTGAGCTCCTCGTGCGCTTCTTCGCCTGCCCCAGCAAGCCCGAGTTCTCCCGCAACATCATGAACATCATCGACATCGTGGCCATCATCCCCTACTTCATCACCCTGGGCACCGAGCTGGCCCACGAGCAGCAGCAGCCCGGGGCTGGCAGTAGCAATGGGGGTGGGGGGCAGCAGCAAGCCATGTCCCTGGCCATCCTCAGAGTCATCCGCCTGGTGAGAGTCTTCAGGATCTTCAAGCTCTCCAGGCACTCCAAGGGGCTGCAGATCTTGGGACAGACTTTGAAAGCCAGCATGAGGGAGCTGGGCCTCCTCATCTTCTTCCTCTTCATCGGGGTGATCCTCTTCTCCAGTGCTGTCTACTTTGCTGAGGCCGATGACCCCGAGTCTCATTTCTCCAGCATCCCTGATGCTTTCTGGTGGGCTGTGGTAACCATGACTACTGTGGGCTATGGGGACATGAGACCTGTCACTGTGGGGGGCAAGATTGTGGGCTCCTTGTGTGCCATCGCTGGTGTGCTCACCATTGCCCTCCCTGTCCCTGTCATTGTGTCCAACTTCAACTACTTCTACCACCGAGAGACTGACCACGAAGAGCAGGCTATCCTCAAAGATGAACACAGTAGTGCTCAGGGCAGCACTGTGGGGGGAGAAGTGAAGAGAAGACCCAGCAAAAACTCTCTGAACAAATCTGTTGTGCACTTGGAAAACAGTGAGGAGTTCAACAATGGCACCAGCTCCTTAGAGAAAGCAAATATCAAAGCAAAAAGTAATGTAGATCTCAGAAAATCCCTCTATGCTCTCTGTCTGGACACCAGTAGGGAAACAGACCTGTGAGGAGAGGAGACGGTTAGAGTTCAGAGGGGCAGAAGGATTTTCTGGTGTCAGAAACTTGCTACTATAATTACTCTTTTAGTACCAATTAGTTTTTTAAGTCAGGCTGTACTTTATAAATTGATCACTGTCCTGAGCAGTCCTCCAGGAATACATGTTTTTGTGGTTTTTTTCCATGACACAAAGGGTCACCTATTTTTAAAACAGACTAAGAATAAGCTACACTCCATACAGGAGCTGGTAAATTATGACAGTGAAAAATCTAATTTGTAGAAACTTATTTTACGAATGACCATTGGTTTTGAATGGGTAATTTGTAACCAATTCAGTTGCCCCGAGTTTAGTGTAAAGAACTGGGGGGATGTGTGTGTGGAGAATGAATGGATTGGGGATGGGAGGGAGGAGGTTGAAGGGTTTTGTATTACAGTTTCAAATTGAAAATATTCAAATATATTTTGTATCTGTATGACTGTATTTATGGTTGAAAGGAGATTTCTTATTCCTGTGAAATATGATATCATTAAAGCACTAGGAACATTAGCAAATCAGCACTTTCTGAGTTTTCCAGTAGTGATCAGCACAGATCTGGTTATCTTGTATGTGAAGTGAATTTGGTGCTTTGAACCCTAGAGCAGAAACTTCTGTTGTCATTGATATGTTAGTTTCTTGTGAGCCTTAAATTATTAAATATTGTAGATATACTTCTTTATAATAATTTTATTAGTTACCTTCCTGTTTCAGAATTTCTAAGTCATTCAGTCATGTGCTTACTGGCCCCACTCAAAAAAGTATGTGCAACTTTTCTTTTTCTTTTTTCTTTTTTTTTTTTTTGTGGTTTTACAGTTTTGTATCTTTGTTATATTGTTGAGACCTAAAGGAAAAAAATACACTCTTCTGCTGTTACTGGTTTAAATCTAGTGCACAACAAATCTAAAGTGATCTGAACAGATTTTCAAGTGCACAACAGATCAAAAACATGAGGGAGTGGATAGGCACAATGAGAAAGTAGAATATTGAGTGTAATATCTGCAGAACTGTTTTCACTGTACACTCGAGATTCCTTGAGTGTGTGTATCAGTCGCCTTTATGTATGCACACACCATTTGTGTACACAGTTCTCTGGTTTTAGTTCTCTCAGACTGGGAGTGGATTGCACTTCAGGAGTCGAACGTGGCGTGCTGTGCTGCTTCAGCAACCATCGTGTGGCTTTTCTCTTGGACACGGATGAAAAGCACCATCTTTTCATCAAAACACACCCCTGGTTTCTTGTATTTCCAAACAAAACCTTCTCAGTGCTGTGGATTTTACAGTTGAGGTGTTGTTGAGAGACGAGTGACACCTTGCCTTCATCAGGATCACAGCTAACTCTGAAGACCGACGAAAAGTTGCTCCTTTAGCTCAAAGAGCTTTCTTACAATTTCTCTTGCAAAGGACGTCTTTGTTTCCCCCTCCAACTTCTGTTGTATTGCTGAAGGATGGTCCATGCCTTTCCCACATCCTGTGGCACAGCAAGAGTAGCAGAGAAGAGAAGGCTTGATTGTCAACATCACTCAAGGTTTGTTTCTAACAAATTTTCTAATATAAATAAGTGCTCAGTTGGGATTATAATTTATTCAAGTACCTCATCTATGTCCTGAGATAAATTGGGATCAGCTTTGCAGAGCAGCACTCTGACATTCTCTCCCCGAGACACAAATGCTGCTTTCCTGTCCCTGACCATGCTCTTTAATGATAATGCCAAAATGCATGATGTTTTTTTCGCTCCTAGTCAGTAAAATAACTGTCAAGCAAGTCATACGTTTCATTAACAGAGTGCTCAGCACAAAACCCAGGGCTGAGGGGAAGGAATTTGAATCTCATAATAGAGAACAGCATCTTTCACATTAATTTTCGAATTTTAGATGTTGGTTTCTTGGTTGGTTTGCTTGTTTAGTTAGATGTGGAATGAGGCAGTAATGTGCTGAGGAGCTGTCTAAAACAAGACTGACAGGAAAAACATCCAGTGCAGCTGCACTCCAGACTCAGGGAGCTCTCCAGTTTGCCTTAGTGGGAGCTGTTGCACCGGAGGGAAGTGAAGAATCAGCTCTTTGGTGAGGATGAATCTCAGATGAAACAAAGTGGTGTAACTCTGCCGCACGTGCTGAGACCTAGGTCACTGATGGACTTAGAGTAAGGCTTTTTGCTCAGACAAGTGCTTTGCTTTGCTCTCGGTGATCACATCCATCTGACTGGCCTGAATAAGCACCAAACAACTGCAGTGAGTCTTTCAGGATAAAGTTTTGAGGTGGTCTTGCTGAAACTACTACCCTTACCTGCCTGACCACCAGCGTTTGGTCTTCCAACTGTGTGTTGTGTTGGATTGGGCTGTTGGCTCCTCGGAGGAGGGGCACTGTGTCCACACAGCCACCTGTTTGGAATCTTGTGTAAGGATTTTAGGGATCTGGATTACATCTCAAAAGTGCAGCAAGCTGATAAAGGTGAAAGTAGATCAGGGCTATGGGGCATGGGTCAAGCTGATCGTGGTGAGACAAAGGGAAGGCCTGGTTTTCCCCCTCCTTTTTTACTTTTCTTCTTCCCACCATGTGTCTTTTTGTTGCTTTCACTGAACTGGTTCTCTCCTCATGGAAGTACAAGTTCAAGTGCTGCCTTCTCTTCCTGTAGCTGCCTGCGCTCACTCATCTGATAGGAAATTAAATTCAGCCTTTTGTTGGAATATGCTATGTTTTTCTATAACAAAACAACAGAACTTTCCAATAGAAAGAAAACAAGTCATTCTCAAAGTATGGTTAAAAAAATTTGCTTGGCTTGGGTTTCTAAAATGTTAAGCACAGTTCAGGCAAATTTGGTATTGACACCTTTACAAATAAATACATGATTTCTATTGGCTTATAGGGCAGTAAAGGATTTGCTTTCTAATGACAAGTACTGCCGCCAAGCACTGAGTAATGTGACCAGGAACATGGTCTGAACCCAGTTCAACAGAGCATTTAGCACAGACACATGCTTAAACCAACACAATTTTCAGGAGGTGTTTTAGATGCACTGATTTTTATGATTTTGAGGTTTGAGATCCTGAGTTGGACTTGGATGTTCCTTGTGGGTCCCTTCCAGCTCCAGGTATTCTTTGATTCTCTGATGGTTATTTAAAGATAAGTTATAAACAGGACTGAAACGTTGAAGCCATGGATTCCCCTTGGATTTTGGGGTAAATATGTGGGTACATGTTACAGTCACTTAATGTGCTGATGCAGATTTGTACTGCAGAAGAGTATGAGTGTAAGAGAGAAATGAATCCCTCCAAGAAGGCTCCTGGAAATGTGAGAGAGGAAGAGAGTTTTCTCTTCCAGGCCCATCACAAGAAGGAAATACAACCTAACCACTATTGATTTTATGTTAACTGACCTGCAATGAACAGCAGGCTGAATCAGACCTCTTCGCCATATCAAAGGCATCAAGATATCAGAACTTAATGAATAGCAAATCATGACAGACGTCAAAACCCCAAACAAACCCAGCCAAACAACAAACCAACACTTTTTTGTAAACTCTTTTGGCTAGGAGCTGCAACAGAAAAGCTGCCTCACCCCACACATGCCGTAGTTATTAATGGCTTGTCCTCTCATGTGGGACACTGTGCACTAAAATGCATTCTTGGGAGTGCTGAAGTGAATGTTCATTTGGGTCACCAGTAATGTAAGTTTAATTTGCTTAGCCTGACCCCAAGGGGAGTCCACATTTCCCTTCTACTTTTCCATCATCCTAAGAAAGGATAAAACAGTGCCAAGCAGTTACATAACACCATTCATCTCCCGGCGCTCTGTGGACAATTGCACCACGCTCTGTGTACAGGCAGGGTAAAGAAAAGGCTGGGGAGGGGAAGTCCACGCCTTTCAAAGGGGGACAGGGCTCAGAGAGGCACAAATAGGAGTGGGTTTCGCTGGACTGAGAGGTCTCAAATGTGGATCTCAGGGAAGAGAGATTCCCCCTGTGGTCTCTTGCATGGCTCTGGGTGGCTCTGCAGGCAAGGACTGGATGCCAGCAGCTGTGCACCATGATCCATCTGCTGGGGTCACTGAACACAGAGGGGACTTTATGCTGCTCTGAGCAGCACAAACAAATCCCTCTTTTGTGTGCCCTTTTCATTTGGGCTCTGTAAGGACAACATGGCACTCCTGCTGGCTGTTCCCTGGCCTCTCCAGCTGCAGATACTGCTGGTCTGGTGGAGGTGATGCTGAGACATTCTCCAGGCACTGCCCTTCACCTCCCATTAGGGAGCAAAGCACATGTCAGAGCACTCTCAGAGGGAGACACCTGAGTGCACAAAAAGTCTGGCTCTTCTGAAACCTATCTCAGAATCACTGAGGTCGGAAAAGACCTCAAAGGTCAGTAAGTTCGACCTGTGTCAGATCACCACTTTGTCAACTGAACCAGAGCACTGAGTGCCATGTCCAGTTGCTTCTTGAATACCTTTGAGTGTGGTGACTCCACCACCTCCCTGGGCAGCTCATTCCAATGCCTGACAACCTTTTCTGAGAAGAAATTCTTCTTCCTGGTCAGGGTTAGAGAGGGTAAGAGAAGCTGGTGCTGAGGTCAAATGAGGAGAGCATTTAGTGGCATGTGACAGTGCCACTGAGCTGTGGTGAGGGACGAGCTGCCTCGATGACATCTGATCTAGCCATTTAGCAAGATGCCATGAACAGGAGTGGAATTTGGCAGGGGCCTCAGGGTGGTTGCTGCCATATTTAGGGAATGACAGACAGAGGGCTTTAAACACCTCATCAAGACTTTGGCCTTGCCACTTGGCCAGCGGTGGGATCGGAATGTTGTGTGGCAGGCAGGGTGTGGGGGAAGGCTCAGGAATAATGAGACTGATTCCCCTGCAGGACAGAGGGGCAGCAGGGAAACGGGGAGATGAAGCTCTAACAGCATCTGCCTGCCTTTGGTTCAGCTTTAGCCATGTCACTGAATGACTACCAGCCTCACTCCTCAGCTACAAATGTCCAAAAAATGAAATAAAAAAGGTCTTTACAATAATCTAACCTAAGACCACTTAAAATCATTGTTCCAAAATTATTCTGCCATGACTTTTGCTACATACAACACCACTAAATATTTTTTTAGATTATGCCATTTAGTCTTTTCATAGGTTCTGTAATGTTTGGTTTTTGGTTACTTTGTAGTTTGCTTGTTTTGGTTGTTTTTTTTGTTTTTTGGGGTTTTTTTACTTTCTTTCTGTATGCATTAACTGGTCCCTAGTTCTTCTGATCAGCTTGTTAAAGTTCTGTTTCTCTGCCCTAAATTTGGGACCTCAGGGTGCTGGCACCCTACATTGGACCTCGGTCATGCCACCTGACATCAGTGTGTCAGCTCATTTCACCAAATTTCTCCAGTAATTCTGTGGGCTCATTGACCAGAACATACCTAATATTTGTATGATGAAATATTGTGAAAAATGTGGTTATAGTAGCCATTGAGATAATGTGAAATAAAAACTTTTATGTTAATTGGAATAGGAAAAAAATAAAGCTGATAAGGAATTAATTGGAATTAGAAGTTTTGAAGAGAAATATCAGCTTATTTAAAGAAAAAGAAGGCTTCAAAAAGACAGAAAGTAGGTTTAGATTGGATATTAGACAGAATTTTTTCCCTATGAGGGTGGTGAGGCCCTGGCACAGGTTGCCCAGAGAAGCTGTGTGTGCCCCAGAAATTACCTGATCTAATAGTAAAATGACTGTCCTTCCTAGAAGGCAACAGAGTGTTTTCATTAGAGCTTGGGCTTCCTAGCACACAGTCTTTATGGTTACTGCAGAATTAATAATTTTCCAGATAGAATTTAAAATTTACCAAAAGTCAACTGCAGGTTGTCTTCTGTATAAATAATTCACAGTCATTAGGGGGATATTTCCAAATAAAACAGTTTTAACACCTGATTGACAGGAAGAAGAGAAAAAAGAAAGATATATCTTATTTCTGTGCTTCAGTTGTGGTGTGCCATGGAGATTGTAATTTGCAATATTCTGGAAAACAGCTGTGGCTGTCTTAAAATTGGCATTGGAAAGAATGTTGCTGGAGAATCACCTTGGATGAAAACAGGTAATAATTTCCCTCTCAAGACAGTGGTTGACTGACCTTCTCCAGTCTTCTGATAAGGCCAGTTTGGACATAAATGTTGAAATATAAGGTCTCTTCTCTCAAATCTCATGTCCAACCCTGGCCAGCAATGGTGGTTTCCTCATTCCTGTGGGTGAGGAATGCAATGGAACCTTGCAGCTCTTCTCATGACAGTATAGCTGTATAATAAATACTTATGTCAGGGTTGATGTTTCCATGAAGATGCTGGAGGAGAAGATGGGATTTAAATGGACTACATTGGTCTGAGGGTGTAGTATGTATAAGGAGCAGGTAAAATTTTTTCCTCTGCATGATTTCATTCCAGTGATGGTGTCCTAGCACGCAGTAATCCCCCTACAAAATATCACAAAATCCATACCAGGGCTTGCTTTGCTCTCTTCAGTTAGTAGGGATTGGTTACATTATACCATACTTAATTCTCTC